CACGCTGTATGTTTGAAGAGCTTCACCACTATACCCTCTGATCCCCTGGATGTGCAGGATCGCTGGCATTAGACTCTATTAGGACCGAGGTTATCCGGGGACACGTCTGTTAGCGTGAAATGATGCGGTCTGCCACTGGTCTAAGTGGCAGGCAGCCTGATGGATCCGTCAGCAGGACTTTGCACATCGCCGTGATTAGAGAGATGGAATGAGAGAAAAAAAGATGATGAGTGGAGGAGAAGAAGGATGAAGAGCGGGAGAGTGTCAGAATTGGTCTTGGGTGGGAAGGGGGGGGGTAACGAGGAACATTTGAAAGGCGGAGGGAGATGGATAAAGGATAAGGACTAGCAGAGACTGTGTCCGCATCGATTTACATGTCTCTGGCATTGATCAGACTCCCCCGTGTAGGGAATTTACCTCCTCTTCACAAAGGATGACTGATACAGTGATTATCAGAAAAACCTGCGGCCATTTTTAAACACATTTTTGGATATTCAGGTTCTCTCGGGAACAAATGTTAATGTCTTGAAGGCGGAGGGCGTTCCCGGCAAACCGATGGGAAGAGCACCTGAACGCAGGTAGACTGCGTGTTTGCCCTTGAAAACGGCATCCTACTGGCTCGCTGACCGACATATGGATGGATGGAGGTGGCTCGTGGCTTGTGTGTACAGTGTGTTTGCATCGTGGGTCAATGTGTCCACATGTCACCAGTATAAATGGACATGAAGCTGACTGGTTTTGTCCGTGAGCCAGTAGCCAAGCTGTGCCGTCTTCTCCCCTTCTGCTCACTGCCAGTTGGACAGTCCTGTCCGGCCATCGCCCAATCCACCTTATTACTCCGTCACCCATATGCTGCCTGATGTGGTTGGTATACCAAACTCTACTCCTTTCAGTATCAAAGCATTTATTTTATTTATTCGTTACTATAATAACGAATAGTGTAAATTATTGAGCGATGATGTACAGTTGCTGTTCACATTGACCCGCGTGTTCCGTATCACTGCGCACTCAAAGTAACAGGTTAGACTTTGTGCGACCGTTAGTTGACATTTCAGCTTTTAGCTCGGTGGCGACCGGACAATTAAGGTGGACGTCATGAGCGATGTGAATGAATGAGAGAGAGGTGCAATGAGACCCAACGCAGTTCACATGCACCTACGGGGACTATTTTTCACTAGACTAGTGAAATGAGATACACAACGTTTGGTGGCTACAACTGTTTTGTGCTGAAAGGCTGCTATTTACTTTTATATTTATATTTATATATATATTAGGCACATCGGGCCAAACAACGCCCTCGAACTGTTACATTATTGGACAATAAAGTACAGCCTCTCGTTCCCGATTGCTTAAGTATGGGTAAAATCAATCAAAAGGGATTTAATTAATGATGGAAAATAATATACAATTAAGTAATGATAACCGAGATGAGTCATGAAACTATTATTCAGTAACATGCACTAAAGGAAAATACTGCGATTCACTGTGTGTGGAGTTTTTAAAACTGGCACTACGGTAAAAATATATATTTTCACCTGCTACAGATATTTTGTAATATCCTTTGCTTGATCGTCACATGCTTTTATCGCCTCATATTCCTGCATCATTGACTTACCTGTTATTATTTCACTCTCCGTGTGCTGTGAGGCGCTGCTAAAAAGGTTATCCTTTCCTCATGTTGTGTTAATTAGCAACAAAAGAGGCTGTAAGACTCAGGGGTATACAACCTGGCACTGCTACCTTGTTCTTTCTCTCTGTGCCTTTTACATGTATTTGAGTCATCTCCATTTGCAGATAATTGCATGGCTTTTTCTCCATCCCGCTTACATCAACTCATCTTTCCTCCGTGTCTCTTATTTTTCCATCCACCCAGCAGCTCTTGCATGCACGCTAGCTCCCATGTTAGCACAGCCACCCATGCTTTTGACACACATGGCTGCCCGCTTGACTTTGATCGTCAGATCTCAGTACCAAGGGACCGTTCACCTCGCCCGCCTCGGGGGACGTGACGGAAATGTCTGTGTTTTCACGTCTGTGTACGTAAGACCGAAAGGCAGCGAGATGCAATAAGTGGAGAGGGAGAGATGACAAGAGCCTGTGATCCAATATTTTCCCCCCCACTTGGGATGGTTTCTTTTGTGTTCGATTGCTCTGTGACATGTGTGACGTGAATCTAATCTCTTTGCGTCGTTGTCGTTGTTGCTAGTCTGCAATCTTCTGTCCTCTGCCACTGGATTCTAAGCCACAGCAATGAAACTATTGAGGTCGGCAATCATTCCTTTGCTGGTCCATGGAGCCATTCGGATCCAGGGCTGTAATTTAAACAATCAATAACAAGTTGATGCAGCTATACTAAACCGGCCACAATCCTTTCAATTTCAAGTGTGCCGTCCCTCACTCACACATTGTTTCTTTTTTCTATTATAAACTACCATCCGCACCTACAAATTGCACCATAATTACAATGTAATGAATCACATCAGGCGTAACACAACATCAAAATTAAATTCCAGGGTGAAGAGAGTGCTACTCTAGCTTTAATTATTTAGGAAAACAGTGCCGTTTTTTAGAGCCTGGGTTAGACATTGCTTTTAGTTTAGCCTTAACAGAAACGACCAATTGTCTGACATATCGATCTATGTGGTGTGGCAGGATATGACACTGGTAGTAAACCATGTGTCTCAAAGTGTTGCCATCAGTCCGCCCACCAATAGTCTCTTGTTCAGCGATCTCCCTCTAATGATGTCGACTCCACAAACCATGTACTTTACAAAACAAATTATCTCCTCGTCAAATAGCTAATTTGGGTTAGTGTCAGTCCTCGCAGTTTTGCTTTCCTCTGATTTTTGATTAGGTGTTTTTTTTTCCTTCTTTTTTTACCTCTTCTCCCTCTTAAAAAACAACAAAAAGAA